GAAGCCCTAAGTTGCACCTTTTCTAAGGCAGCAATGTCCTTCTTAAGGTATGGTGACCAAACCTGCACACAATATTCTAGGTGGGGTCTTAGCAAGGAATTATATAATCGTAGCATCACCTCCCTTGACTTAAATTCCACACACCTAGAGATGTAACCCAACATCCTATTGGTCTTTTTAATTACTTCCCCACACTGGCGAGAGTGGGACATGGAAGCATCAACATACACACTGAGGTCCTTCTCATAATCAGCTACCTTTATTTCAGTGGAACCCATAAAATATCTGCACTTCACATTTCTGCTCCCTGCACGGATTACCTTACATTTATCTATGTTAAATTTCATCTGCCAGGTATCAGCCCAGTCGCTAATTAATTCAAGGTCCCACTGTAGCCTCTGTGCTGCTAGATCAGTATCTGCTACACCACCCAGCCTGGTGTTGTCTGCAGATGTAACCAGTTTACTGTATGTATTCATGTCAATATCATTAATGTAAATCAGGAACAATAGTGGTCCTAAAATTGAACCCTGTGGTACCAGTGACAATCATTTCATGACATGGAATTTTTTGCTATTACCTTACACATTCTGTTGATTCTGGTCGTGTTGCCAAGTCTTGATCTTTGGATGCAATGCCGAAGTGAATTGGAAAAAGTCCTCCCAGGATTATATCCCCCTTCTTCTGAGCCCTTTGGTAGGGGCCGTAAGTAGAGATGGCACCACTGAACCCCAAAAGGATCAGGGAATACAAATAAAATCTCATTGTTAGTTTAATATTCCAAATAACCAATGTTAAATTAAGCAACATTAGAAGTCATCCTTAGAGCTAAACATTAAACAGATGACCAGCGTCTTCCATCCTTCACAGAATTCAGTCATAGGAGTATGACAGGAGCTTATGAGACTTGGGAGCAGTAAAATCCAGCCGTTTCCCTGCTGATGACCAGGTATCCTTTGCCATGTGTCTGGCTTGTCACATCAAATTCACTCTGTTAAAGAAAAAAAGAAAAGGTAAAACAGAGAAACATGGGGAAAACTAAAAATCG